GGGAAAATGTACTTCTAGTATTGATTATTTTGAGTTATTTCCAGGCTGTCAAGTTGTTTGAATGATGATGAATTAGACAGCTGAAGATCATTACTAGAGCTGATGTCTTCATAAATCAGTAGCATCAGCTGAATGTCCAAGCTATAATGATAAATTGCCTCTTTGTCAGTGGGGAAATTGGTTAGAGAGTTGTCTTATGGCCCTGACCCATGACCTCTTCACTGTGTAGCAATCTATTTTTGGCTTGATGGTACTAGGAAATACCATATACTCAGTTTTCAGATTGAACTGAGTTCATATTTTATACTTGCCAGATAACATAAACTTTTTTAAAAAAACCTCTTTGGAAACATGGTGTCTCTATAACATCTTTTAACTTTGCAAGGAAACACCACCCCATAATGATTTTTGGAACTGGGATCTAATGGCCTTCGCAGTTCCTCTCATCATATTCTGACAATGGAATCTACTGTTAAGTTTACGCCCAGTGGCTTCAGAATCATTTGTCTGGGATTCCATTGTTGTTTCAACCAACAAGGTATAACAACACGAACCCTTAAGAATACTGCATATATGAGCTTTCTTTGTAATGAAAGCACACAAAACTGAGAAAATATATTAACAATTTAAACCAACTTACTTTAGCATCTGCTGATTGGATAAACTAAGGCACAGCTACCCTTTCCAAGAGCAACTCAATTCCAAGCTTAAGAAATGATTACCGGTAACTTTCAGGGAACCAGCAAACCAACATTTGGTACAGGTAGATTCCTATATTAGTACCATCTGCTTTTCTCTGCTCTTTAATTAAGGAGAGGAAACGGATAGATGGATTGCCTTGCAGTTTGTGTTCAAGAATGGCAGTAGCCACATCACAGCCAATGTATGTCTGAAAGGTTGAGTAGACTTTGGCAAAATGCTTTGTATGGGAAGTAGCAATATGCTTTGAAGGCAACAGCTGTTGAGGATAACAGACATATTGGCTTGGATCCAGATTTTGCTTCTGCCATTGGGAGTATCCACCTAGTGGAGTTTCCATTAATAGGATGTGGTGGAGACAGACAACCTTTGCTAATCCCCGTTACTCCTTCTAAAAATCTACTTTGGAAGATTGAGGGACCCTCCAAAACAGTCTGGGAGGGAGAGACATTTGTGGAAAGGAGTGGGGAAATGTGCAAAAGTTGCTCCTGCCTGCCAGTGCGATCCCTGTACTGGATCAAAAGCATTCCATGGATGAAAGGAGCATAGCTGTCAACCTTCCCTTTTTTTGCAGGAAATTCCCTTATTCCAGCGCCGCTTCCCGCTGCTATCCCGGATTGTTAGATATCCCGTAAATTTCCTGGATTTCAAAGGAAGCAGCTCCTCTCCCTCCCTGCCGGCCAGGGAGGCTCCTCAGCTGCGTTGCTCGACTGTGTTGCTCACCAATAAGGAGTCTGAGAACGACTGGGGGGTGGAGCTTGCATGCCTTGTGCCGATAAAATCGGCTGCGTTGCCTGGGGACTTGCCTTTGCTTCAGCGCTTCCCAATGGTGTGGTTTCCTTGCTGCTGTATCCCTTTGCTGGGTCGCTGCACTGTGGGAACCACCGCTTGAGGCTTCATTTGGCTGCTGGCTGGGCTTTCTGCCTTTGGCTTGGAGGGGCTCGGAACGTACCTGTACTCGAAATCGGATGGATACATCGACGGCCCACTCACCCTTGCCGGGGATAAGGTCTGTCTGGAGCGGGGGCACATGAGGAAAAGAGAAGGAGTGGCTGGTTGAGTACAAAGGCGGGCGGCAATCTCATGGGGGGGGCTTTTGGATTTGTTTTGGAGGCTCCTTCGATTGACTGCTGTGGGGAAAAGGAAAGGAGCTGGTTGACTAAAATGGCGGGTGGCAATCTCATGGCAAGGCGGGAGGCTGTCACCGCCGTGTGTGTGTGGCTAGTTAATGCAAGCTGAGGGGTTTTTTGAACGCTGGACACCGTTTTGTTGCACGTGCTGCTGCAAAGCCAGGCCAGGGAGCCATCTTAAGTTGAGGCTGCATAGGCCTTGTGATGCATGTGATTCAGATTCTATTCAGTTGAACCTCTGGTTACAAAGTTGACATTTTTTCAGCAGTGCCCCCCCCCAGTGAGTCATCTTTTGTTCACTTTTTTTTGTTTTGAGGCAGTGCACACCTATGTTTGTGGAACTGCAAACCTTTCTAGTCATGTGTTACTCCAGTCAAATCCCACGTATGAATGTGGAGGAGGTAGAATTGCTACAGGAGAGCAATCTCTTTGCAGATTGCATGTGTGGCTACTCTGATGTGTTTCTTTTCTTCTTTTTCAAACAAAGAAAGATGGATGGAGGTGGAGAAGACATTCCTTCGAAAAAAGCAAAGAGGCTGTGCAAGTATCGTGAGAAATGGGAAAAGGAATTTAGCTTCTTGAAGAAGAGCAGAGTGGGGCATGGTCATGCATTCTGCACAATTTGCAGTTGCAATTTTAGTGTCTCCCATGGGGGAAGGACCGATGTCACTCAGCATAAAAAATCCGCCAAGCACAAGCACGGGCTAGAGGCACAGAAACATGCCCCGGCGATGTCCGCATTTGTGACTAGGAATACCACAGAGGCTGACCAGGTCAGAAATGCAGAGGTTAAAATGGCCATGCTGTGTGCCAAACACAACATTTCTTTCACCTTCTGTGACGACTTCAAAAAGTGTGTAGCTGACATGTTCCCGGACTCTGCCATTGCACGAAAATATTCTGCGGGGAAAACCAAAACTACGCAAATCATTAAAGGTAAGTTGATTCAAATTACGAAAACAATGGTACCTCGGGTTAAGAACTGAGGTACCACTGTATTGTCAGCTTAGGAGTCCTAAGAGGGCGAAGTCTGGATCTTGGGTGCACCTTACAGTAGTTTTAACTATAAAAAGACTTGTTCTCCACTTCATACTGCTGCCTTAGGCTGTAGCATCTCATGCAAATTCAAGATCTCAAGTGTGAGTGATAAATTTGTGGAGTAAGTTTAGTCATCTGTTCTGTTATCAGGCAACAGTTGATTCAAGGTACAGTGGTACCTCAGGTTACATACGCTTCAGGTTACAGACTCCACTAACCCAGAAATAGTGCTTCAGATTAAGAACTTTGCTTCACGATGAGAACAGAAATCGGGCTCCGGCAGCGTGGCGGCAGCAGGAGGCCCCATTAGCTAAAGTGGTGCTTCAGCTTAAGAACAGTTTCAGGTTAAGTATGGACCTCCGGAACGAATTAAGTACTTAGCCTGAGGTACCACGGTACACCTAAAAAGTTATCCCTGTTAACCTCAATAGCCTCAAATCACTACAGATTGGGACAGAGCTAGTACTAGTTTCTAACTTTTGTGTGCTTGCATGCAGCTATGGAAATTTGGAACAACAAATACAGGGTCAAGGTTGTAAACAGTCCATAAGCTCCTTGCATCTGTGCTGATTGTGACCTAAAATATTTCTAAAACACCCAACCATGATTATGCATTTGGTATAAAGTACCATTTCCATGGGCAAGAATCTCCCCCCCCCCCCGTGCTTCACATATTCAAGGATCTGTGAAAATTATTTTTCAATGATAAAATTTTCTTTTGCAGGGACGACTAGCATGATGACTTGTTGCGTAACCTCCAGGTTCCGGAATCTTTGGGTTACGGCTGCAGCAAACCCAGAAGCAGTCCTCCAGTTACGGAATTTTCGGGATACGGCCGGGCCTCTGGAACGGATCCCGTTTGTATATATTTGAGATAAAAGACAACTTTTGTACAAGCCAAACAATTAGTTACATAGTTGACATTTTTAAAATAGTATTTTCAGCTTGTTATCTTTAAATGTCTTATTATTCTGTTAGTTTAGGTCTGTCAAGATGCCCTGTTGACCCCTAAAGTATGGATAATGGTAAGTGTTACTCTTTAAAATTTTAACTAAGTGCTTTAGTAAAACTAGTTTTTAATAGTCACATAGTTTGAGTTTAAATTTACTTGTACAATATTCCTTTTCAGTAAACCTTGTTGGGAGGTTGATGACACTTCATACAACCTCAGATTGTTATGTATATGACTTTTCTTGTTCCCTGCTTTTGAAAAAAAAACTGGAGGGTTCATTCTAAAAGCAATTACAAAGCCATGGAAATAGTTTAATTTAGGAAATCGTGTTTTCCATTGTACAGTATAGATATTAAAAATTGCATTGCTGGCACAGTGATGATTTCCTTTTGCCGTTTACCCATCTGAATTTATACTGATGTGTATTTCCTAATTCTGAGATGCCAGTAAAGCTTTAAATGGCCCAAGTAACATAATTACTTAGAACATTATAAAGTTATGTTAATTGTTTTTATTGCAGTGGATGTTTTGATTGTGTGCCTTCCTGAATTCGGATGTATTCAGAAATGAGACCAGATTGTCAAATCGTTTTCAACCATGAAAGTGCTACTTGCAAGTTTGAGGTAGTTATTCACTAAACCTGTAATCTACGTATAAGAAACCAAACTTGACTGTTTTGCAAATGTTATATGAAAAAGAAATTTTATTTTATTGTAATAAGAAATATTTGAGATAAAGCTAAGAAGATTACATTATGAAAGGGAGCCATTCTGTCTGAATACTGATGGCATAAGAGCAGCTCCGCTGGATCAGGCCAAAGGCCCATCAAATTCAGCATTCTTTTCCTGCTAGATGCAGTTGACAGTAATGTTTGAAATTCAGTATCTTTTGAAATTTAGAGAACTGATTTTCATTCAGTCCTTAAACCACAAATATTTTATATTTGATGTTCTAATGTATGCCTTATATGCAACCATCTCCCCCCCCCCAATTGAGAACAAAGTGTTAGGGCTCATCCATGCTGCTGCTTGTTCCTTGACTACAAAGCAGGGGCCCAAGAGGTTTTCCATTTGCCCCACCACTTTCCCCAGAAAACCTGATTGATGTTTGCTCCGATTCAGTGCTATAGAGTGGGTTTTCCAGTGGAAAGCAATTCGACAAGTGGAACGTACATCCATGGGACATACCCAAAGAAAGTAACGATAACATTGTTATTCAGGATATTGAAAACCCTTTCATTGTTTTAATATGTTCTTAATGTTGTTTTTAATGCCCTGGGACCTTACAGTGAAGAGTGGGTAATAAATAGAAAAATTATTAATAATAGTAATAATAATAATATATTTAAGAGACTATTTTCCCACATAGTCTATATAGCAATAGTGAGTTGAATTACACTCCATTTAAGACATGCATAGTAAAAGCTGCTCTTATTTTTTCATGAAATTTGGGAGGCTATAACAGGAACCAATGTCATACATCTCTTTTCACAAAATGGAAAATGTTTTCTTCCTCTGTTCCTCCCCGCCCTGAGAAATGCAAGACTAGAAAGGAAAAGCAATGTCTGAAATAGTAGAATTCTGTGACCAAGCATTGCATCCTTCATATTTCCAATGTTCTAATGTGACAATGGGGAAATCAGTTTTGCTGACTCTCAAAATGTATGTATGACAAACATTAAGAACTACATGAATTGATCTTACAACTATTTACACATTCAAGTTTATTTTTAAAAATAGACCTCATTTTGAAGATAAACTAATCTTCGCTAATAAGAACATCTGTTGCAGGTCCATATGTAGCAACAAATTGTTTCAACTGTTGATGGCACTGCATCAAGTAAATATCCCTTTGATTCAGAGAGTTTTCACTATTGAGTTCAAATGGAAACACAGCATTTGGGGCCACACAAAACACAGAAGCACCTGTGAAAATAAAAGTAGAGGAATAAATATATAATTTATTTTAACTAGAAAATGTTAAAGTATAATTGAAAATGTGATTTACATCAATTGAAATTTCACATAGAAATATCCAGTGATAGGCATCCATGTAGGTAACAGGTTTCTGAACACAGTAAGTATGGGCAGAATATCTATAAGTACTTTCAGATGTTAAGATTTTTTATATGCAAAAATATAGTTGGTTCTTAGAATTGGGCTCATTCAATCTTTCTCTGTCACTGTACTAATAAATATATTTCTGGTTTTAAAGGTGGCCTGTCATTTTTTAAATGCTCTTTTTAAGGATGCTGTTTCCAAGGGAGCTAATGAGTGCATGAAGACACACACAATTCAAATCCCAGTTCAACTTATCAACCAAAGCTGTTAGTCTCATATCCTGGGTGCATATCCAATTGAAATGGGTCTACATGATCAGTATCCTACAGGAGTACCTGGAGTTGTGAGTCTGAATAGCAGTAATTGAAATTTATCGCACAAAACCAGACTAGATGATGCACTGGACACAAAACCAGACTAGATGATGCACTGGACACTTCTCTGAATTCACTCATTACAGTGGCATCTTGGTCAAGATGGACGCAATATATTTTGTGTGAGAAAGAGGGGCTCTTTATAGGAACCAAGTGCAGGAACGTCAAGTGTCTTGTTTCTGACAGTGCCCTTCAGTGCAGACTCTTCAATAGATGGTGATGTCAACACAAAAGGAAGGGAAGAGAAATCTCATCCATGGAAATGAGACTTGGGGTGGACAAGCAGAACCTTGAGAGGTAACCAGACATTTGGTATTTGGAGCTCTGCTTTTCAGCCCAAGCAGAAAAGCACCCTGCATTTAAGGATTTTACGTGGTTATTTTAATAGCCCTCATTAAGAAAGGTTCAGTTAAAAGGTTTATACCGTATTTAAAAGTGAGAGATGATTCAAATAGTAATACAGCAATCAAAACATCTTCTTCAAGTACTTCTGTTCTTAAACTCAGCTTAGCATGTGCTTTAGACAGTGAAATCCTACAGCACAAACATAAATTTAATAATTTAAAATCAGTTGTACAAAATTTTAATAACTGAAAGCTTCTGTTGCCAGAGATGTTGTATGAATCTTTACACACAGAGAAATGTAGCTGCTACAGACATGTATGGGGAGAAATGGTACTTGCGTATTTTTGATATAATTCAGGTCAATTACTAGTACAAATAGAGGTGTGGTTTTAGGCTGATGGAGCCATAGTGGTTAAAATAGCTATAGTGCACAAGGCAAATACCCTTTACTGTGCAAGCCCAATTGTTTGTTAATGTATAATGTATACATAGATCTTTATGTATTAATGATAATAGAGAGGTGGGCAACTCTATTAGATTACTATTTGTGAGGTTTGGAAGGAGCTTATGACTTCTCTTGAAAAACTGGCTATGAGAGTCAAGTTTAAACTGATACATCATATTCAGAAATTTAACAAAACGGAAAGTTATATAAAATGGCTTTTGAGCTCTTAAACTTTATAATTTTTTTTACAAAATCTAGGATTAGTGCTGCTTGAAATTACACATTTGTTCACATGTAACTTATACAGGTAAAGGTAAAAGTACCCCTGCCCGTACGGGCCAGTCTTGACAGACTCTGGGGTTGTGCGCCCATCTCACTCAAGAGGCCAGGGGCCAGCGCTGTCCGAAGACACTTTCGGGTCACGTGGCCAGCGTGACATCGCTGCTCTGGCGAGCCAGCGCAGCACACGGAACGCCGTTTACCTTCCCGCTAGTAAGCGGTCCCTATTTATCTACTTGCACCCGAGGGTGCTTTCGAACTGCTAGGTTGGCAGGCGCTGGGACCGAGCAACGGGAGCGCACCCCGCCGCGGGGATTCGAACCGCCGACCTTTCGATCGGCAAGCCCTAGGCGCTGAGGCTTTTACCCACAGCGCCACCCGCGTCCCTCTATACAGATAAGTTATTGCAATTTAAGAAACAGGAACTGAACAATCACATGTCTAAAACTTACAGAGCTAAGGGGAAATGTATTAGGAACATGGTGATGGTGGAATGACTGATCCTACTTTCTTTCCCAGCTAATGGAAGACAAAGGGATATTTTGGCTTATAGCCATCAGATTTGGGTTTGTCATAGTTACTTATGCAGAATTATTACACAGGTTAAATACAAATTTTGAAGAACACATACTTGACATGTAAATGAAAACCTACAAGATATTCAGTGCAGTTGCTGAGAGATTTGATCCATGAACAGGATGTGTTCTGATTCTGCGACTTGCTAAGTAGTAACCATGAATCAGCCTTTCCGCTTCTGAACAGAGTTCCACATGCAAATTTTTGGAGAAAGCAAGGAACTAAAATGACATAAATTATTTCATTGGTTTATGAATGTGGAAAAATAACTAGATTTACCAGTGATCTTTAAATTTCAGGTGTATCATTTTAAAAAGTATTTTCCAAGACACAATTTTCATTAAAATATTAATAATTTGCCAATTCATTATTCGTGACATATTTTCACATTACAAAGAACGTGATTTTAAAATAGGCAAAAACGTGGATTATATGAGTGGTTGCATAAATACAAACTCAACCTATTTCCTAAGCGCTTAAGACAGTTTACACCAATCACCATGGAAGTTAAGATACTCATGATTTAGCACGGTTGGTACACCGTTCTGCAGTCAAGTAAGTGTTGGGTCAAACACCTTCCTTGCTTCTTTTCACTTGTATTTTGAAGCCACTGTTGGATTTCACAGCTTTACTAAAGATGTAGATTTAGTGTAAGAAAAGTTCTCATTCCTATTCTGAATATTGGACATTGAAATTGTCTGAATTTGATAAAGTGCAGAAGAGTCCTTTAGCAAATATGTCTAGTTAGACACGTAACATATATTTTGTAAGTTAGTTACTTGTACAAATTGAAGTTAAAGTAGCAGAGGAACAAAAGGGATCTTGATTATTCAAATGCACATAATCTGAAATATGATTGATAGAACAGCAGCTTATCAAACCGCTCCTCTTGTTTGGTTCAATTCATAATGTCTAGTTACCTCCTCATAATCTTGTGTTCCAAACTGTTTGGAGATAGCATAGACTGCATCTTCTGGATTGATGGCCTTTTTTAAAAGGAGATTCACAACAGGAAGAACTGGATTGGAAAATGCTGATTCATTGCAGTGTATCAGAAGCCAAAAAGCATCTATAACGTTAGCTGAAATAAAGCTTAAATCCTAGACAAAAGAAATATTTATATTTCAGAACAGAACTTCATATGGTTTCCAGACAAAACCAGCAAGTGAATTATTTGGGACTGAGGGTATCTAGAAAAATGTAAAATTCAGTGGTTTTTCTGAGAAACACATTTTGGAACATTTCATTTAGCACTCTTGGTCTATTTAACACATGCATGCACTATAGTCCTAGTTTTAATATTGTAGAAGCTACCTCAATTCACTGCTGAAAATAGATTGCATGGCTGGAGGAAATCACTTTCTAGAAAGTGGCTGCAAATTTTGTATATCAATGTCACTCTAAAAGCTATTAGGTATTTTTAATTAATGTCATTGTGCAATTCTAGCAAAGAAACGTTACTTACCATTTGGCCTATTAGAGTATTATCTCCTTGAATATGCTTTTTGCAAGAAGCATCCACATCAATAAATGACCAAAAACTGGTTTGAATTGGAAGGGTAACCTGCTGATCAATTTCTTCTCCATATTTCTTTCCAGGGATGAATATAGTAGTTGTTCTTCCTTCAAGTACTTGTAAAGTCAGACAATAAAGACTACTTAAAATTTGATGATTTTTAAAGTTTCACTATAAATAGGTCTTTGAAGAATGAAAACAACATAGTGCCATTGTCTTAAAGAAGATAGCTCACATGCTATATATTCAAATTACAGAAATGCACTGGAAGTGCTGCATATTAAAATGTAGCAGAGAACAGGTTGATATACTGCTCCCTATTTTGAAGGACATAGAAATTGGTGAATAATATACTAATTTCTATCTTGGAAGGTAGTGGTGATACCCAATCTTTTCCTCTGTATCCACCACATATGCTCTCCCCCACATCTGCTCCAGGGACCTCCAGATATGACAACAGTAGGTTTGGTGGACATGTGGAAGCTGCCAGGAGTGGAAGGGACCTTCTCATTGCACAAGCAGAAGTCCTTTCCACTAGCTACAGGCACAGTTGAATGTCACCTTAGTTATTTTTTATTTTTTAATGATTAAAAGAATTATTCTTTATCAATACATTGCCCTGCTAGCAGACAAACAATATCCCAGTGTTTTGCTCTTTCTCATATGAAAACTACTACAGGTTGCATTTGATCAAGGCAAGTAAAGTGCTTCTGCAAGAATTGTCATTTGTCAACCCATGTGACTAAACATAGTGGGTTTACACATGCGTAAAGGTAAAGGGACTCCTGACCATTACGTCCAGTCTTGACCGACTCTGGGGTTGCGGCGCTCATCTTGCTTTATTGGCCGAGGGAGCCGGCATACAACTTCCAGGTCATGTGGCCAGCATGACTAAGCCGCTTCTGGCGAAGCAGAGCAGCACACGGAAACGCTGTTTACCTTCCCGCCGGAGCAGTACCTATTTATCTACTTGCAAAATGTGATATCCTCTGAGGTGTAGAAAGCTGTTGCAGTTCTGATTTCTTACTGTGGAAAAAATATTGTGATGGACAGAAACCTGGCATAAGGGAGCTTTTTAGTCAAAGTGTATTTGGACATTTGGATAACTGAAATAAGGTATGCCAGATTTTAGGTACCGTATTATACAAAACTTTCAGTTGGTTTACCTGACTGCAACTGTTCAAGCTTATCCTTCCTATGCGAAGATAATTCTCCAATGAAGCATACTCCCCCTTTGGCCAGCAAAGCACTATTAGCCTGAATGCTTGCAGTTCTAGTTCCATGCTTATCTTTGGACACAGTAGGAAAAAGTTCACCAGATGGAATATGCCGTAGGCCCCGTGGAACAAGACTAATGCTGTAATTCATAACTCTAGGTGATGGGGAAAGTAGATATCTTAGTTACAGATGTGTAATACACTTGGAAAAGAAATCAAGTGTTTTTAAAAAATGATTTTAGTTCACATGACATTGCAGTTCAGTAGAATAATTCTATCCTTGGAATAAAGAAGTATATGCATTGTTTTACCTCACATATTTTCCTTTAAAAGCAAAATAAGAAATTGGAACAATTGCAGTAACAACATTGTTCTTTGCACAAAGCTAAATAAAGGGTATACACAGTCATCCTACAAAAGGGGGAGAGAATCTGCTTATTAAAGAAAAGAGCACTTAGTTACCTCTCTAATATTAGTGAATCATTCGTCAATACCAAAATATCCAGGTAATCTGCTGTTAAGTCATTTCTGTCACTTGTCTGTACTAGACTTAACAATATAGCTAGTTTGAGAGTGTTGTTAATGCCTGGTGGAAGTACTTGTGAAGCAAAACTATTGGCCAGAAGAGCTGTAAATCTCCAACACGACTTTGAAGTCAAAGAAAGCAGATACTTAAATTTTTCACTGATCTGGGAAGGGCCTAATACAAAAACACACCAAAGCCAAATGAACAACATATCTTACAATTTTTACAAATATATTCAGTTTCACATCTTCCATTTGTAATTACAAAACTAGAAAAACAGTTTTAAAAACACCCATCTTATGCATGTAGATTCATGTGGTTCCCAGCTAAGTGTTCACAGGATTGCTTCTCAGGTTTACAGGTGTGAACACTTTAAAATCAGTTTCATTTTGTTAAATGAAAATAGGCTATTCCTTCAATGGTCCCTGTTACTTGGGGCATTCTCTACTGTGTCTAATTATGTGGTCTCCCAATTCTGCAGTGCTTTGTTTGCTCAGGCTGTCAGTTAAGAATCCTACCTTCTATTCTCAGGCGAGATACAAAAGAATATATCCATACCCAATTTCAATATGTATGGACTTGGTTCGCAGCGAGAGCCCTCATGATGTCTAAATGACATTAAGTACAAACTATTGTTTGTACATTTACAGTGGTACCTCAGGTTACAGACGCTTCAGGTTATGGACGCGTCGAAACCTGGAAGTACCGGAAATGGTTACTTCTGAGTTTCAGCGCATGTGCAGAAGCACTAAATCACGCTATGCGCAGAAGCACCAAATCGGGTCACGTGCGCAGACGGAGCGCTGCGGGTTGCAAACGTGCCTCCCACACGGATCACATTCGCAACCCGAGGTTCCACTGTATATAGTTTTATGTGGTGCCTTTCTACAAACAACACTTAAGGCATTTTACAATGTGGTGGTATCCAACTAAGTCATACTCTGCGCAGCCAACTGAAAACAATGGACTTAACCTAGGCATATCTAAGGGCTTGTCCACATTTTTGCTTATCCTGTGTCAATAAAGTCTGGATCAGAGTGGTTTTCCCCTTGGCCCATGCTTTCTAGGCACAGATCTGAGCAGTTTTCATCTTGCCTTACTCCTTTCTTCAATGCTCAATCGGAGCAAACATTAATCAAGAGAAAACCCAAATTGCTGTTTGCTCCGGTTGAGCGCTAAAGAGCAGTTTACTCCAGGGGTAGGGGCAAGGGGAGAGAAGCAGAAATGTGGCTAAATCCTAACTCATATGACTAAAGTCAGATACCACAGAAGAAGCACAGAACTACAGATGAAATGCAAGCCCACAAAGAAACCCAATGAACAAAATCTGCACAAGACACCAGTACTATTAGGGCAATGTGTAAATGTAAATGTATGAGAGTGCATAATTGATAGTAAAAGGCAATGTAGGTTTTATAAACACATTTAAAAGTAATTTAAGTCTCAAATGTGAAGTCATTTAAATGCTGTTGGATCACAAATTACCGTATTTTTCGCTCTATAACACGCACCTGACCATAACACGCACATCGTTTTTAGAGGAGGAAAACAAGGGAAAAAATTCTGAATGAAACAGTGGATGTATCATTTTTGTGCTTCATGCTGTGGCCACAGACATGTGATCTGATGGTGAATTTGGGGTAGCTCAATGCAAAGATCCTGAGGATCCATGTGGATCCATGCTTTTTAACCACATTTTTGCACCATTGCAGCCCCAGGCAACAGTGGGTGTGTGATTTTTGGGGGGCAGGCTGCTATGTGATCTGATGGTGAATTTGGGGTGGCCCAATGCAAAGATCCTGAGGATCCATGTGGATCCATGCTTTTTAACCACGTTTTTGCACCATTGCAGTCCCAGGCAACAGTGGGTGTGTGATTTTTGGGGGGCAGGCTGCTATGTGATCTGATGGTGAATTTGGGGTGGCCCAATGCAAAGATCCTGAGGATCCATGTGGATCCATGCTTTTTAACCACATTTTTGCACCATTGCAGCCCCAGGCAACAGTGGGTGTGTGATTTTTGGGGGGCAGGCTGCTATGTGATCTGATGGTGAATTTGGGGTGGCCCAATGCAAAGATCCTGAGGATCCATGTGGATCCATGCTTTTTAACCACGTTTTTGCACCATTGCAGCCCCAGGCAACAGTGGGTGTGTGATTTTAGGGGGGCAGGCTGCTATGTGATCTGATGGTGAATTTGGGGTGGCCCAATGCAAAGATCCTGAGGATCCATGTGGATCCATGCTTTGTAACTACATTTTAAGTGGGGAGTGAAGGAAAAACACAGAAGGGACAAGAGAGCGGTGTGCAGAGAAGCAGCTGGCTAAGAAAGCAGGAGAGGGATTTTACGGGAGGGAAGAAAGAAAGGCAAAAGTTTCCACAAACCGAAGCCAGCTTTCTCTCTTCTCCTGCATGTTTTCTGGCTGCCTGCGAGGAGCACGGAGAGGAATTAGAAGGAAAGACCTCTGCTTTCCCCTCTGCTTGCCTGGAGGGGAGGGGATTTGCCTGCTCTTTGTTCCGTTTGAGCAAACACAGCAAGGAAACAGAGGCGGGTGGGCAGTAAGACCCTGAGGCAGAATGCAGGAAAGCAACCACTTCCTCTTTTCAGGTTTCCCTTCTCCGACACAACGCGCTTTGATTTTTGCTGATTTTTGTTCCTGCGCTCCCCTAATCGGCTCCAGGGACCCCCCCCCCCACATTCGCTCCATAACACGCACAGACATTTCCCCTTCCTTTTTAGGAGAAAAAATCTGCGTGTAATAGAGAGAAAAATACGGGTAATAGGTAGAGGGCACTCTCTGACTACTATTAAAGGTAAAGGTACCCCTGCCCGTACAGGCCAGTCTTGACAGACTCTAGGGTTGTGCGCCCATCTCACTCAAGAGGCCGGGGGCCAGCGCTGTCCGGAGACACTTCCGGGTCACGTGGCCAGCGTGACATCGCTGCTCTGGCGAGCCAGAGCCGCACACGGAAACGCTGTTTACCTTCCCGCTAGTAAGCGGTCCCTATTTATCTACTTGCACCTGGGGGTGCTTTCGAACTGCTAGGTTGGCAGGCGCTGGGACCAAACAACAGGAGCGCACCCCGCCACGGGGATTCGAACCGCCGACCTTTCGATCGGCAAGCACTAGGCGCTGAGGCTTTTACCCACAGCGCCACCCGCGTCCCGCTCTGACTACTATTACCATTCACTTAATTCATATCCAACTGAAATAGCAGACAGAGTGCCCTCTAAAACACAGTGTGAATTGTGTGATCTGTATTTATTCAAACCAACTTTCACATATTTGGTTCATATTTGAGAGGGAGAGAGGAAGAAGCAAATTTCAATCATACAGAAAGTCCCAAAAAGTTTGCTATACATATACACACACACACAAACACAAAAATCTCCACTTGTTCGGTCAGGAACTGAATGCACACCCACTTCAACTATCCCCTTGTCTTACCTGTGAGATTACAGAGATGTATACTGCTGGCTTCCAGGCAAAGTGTGATTTGTATGCAGCTTGGCATACAGACTGGAATTCCTATAACTTTATACCTGTTTCCTATTTCCATTTTGTTAGTTAGTTCATCTATAAATTAGCAAATAAACATGTAGGGATGTATGTATCTGCTTAAGACATACCCTGCCTTTATTCATAGAAGCTAGGTAGTTAACAACAGGAAAAAAGATCACAAACAATTTTAAATGTTACGGATACTAAGACTGCAATTCTAAATGCTCTTAGCTGGGATTAAGGGCCATTGAACTAAAGTTCAGGTAAACATGCACTGTAAAGGAGCAGCAGGAAGCAACACAACATAGAAGCAATAAAAACTATTCAAAAACCAGGGACAGTTGAAAACCGGCTTAAATAAAACAGCCATTTGTTAACCAAATGGCTTACTGAAGATGAAATTTTCCCTAACTTGCAAAAAGTCACACATAGGATTGCTCTGCCCAGCTCACTGCTTTATGTAGTTTGGTCTATAAAGACTAGATTACCTTTATGAGAAATAAGAGTTACCTCTAGGAATGATCCATTCCCACCATCTTCCTTCTGCATTTATAAGATTGAACACAAAGCTACATTCATGTGACCAAATCCATCTACTCTTTCAATATTTTTCCTTTTTTATGTTTTTATTGAAATATTTTCCATAAGTAACAAAAGTACATTCAGTGTCTCTGTTTTTAAACTGTAGCATCCTTCATACAAATCAAATACAATCAGTTTGAGACTTTTTTTGTTGTAGACAATGTGGGGTTGAGAGAGGGGAGAAAGTAGAGAAAAAGAAATTTAGGAGAGGGGGGAGGTGAAGGAGACATTAAACTTTCATTTTTGCATATGTGAGTGGAGCTTTTTTGTCAGTGTCACTTGGATAGGTGTCTTATTTTTGTTGGCAGAACAAGAGGTCAGAGGGCTCAAGGTATGGTTGGTTCCAGTTCATTAGTAGTGTTTTTTTTGGGGGGGGGCATTGTTAGGTTACATTAGCCATATTGATTCATATCTTGTCAGGAGCGGGGGATCAGTCATTGCCTTGTGTATGTGATGAAGGGGAGCCACACAGGGGTAAAGGCATCCTTTGTTTGTCCCATGGCAGTTTCAGTTTGTTAAGTTTTTCTCATAGGGCAGTTTCCCATATAGTTTGGTACTAGTGGTCCATGGACACCCCAAATAGGTCCATCTAGTGTCTGGTTATGAGGCTCCTAGCTGCTGAGAGTAAGTGGTTTATAAGTTTTTTGTCATGTGAATGTGCATTATTGCCTTGGAAGAAACTTAGTAGGGCAAATTTTGGAGTTTCTTCTATTACCTGTTTTTGTTATTTTGCAAATTTCTTGTAAGTCTGTTATCCCAAAAGATTGGATTTTGGGGCTTTCCTACCACATGTGGAGGTGTGTATCAGTGCCAGTGGATCCTCTCCTGGTTGTATCATCACCAGCTTATGTGGTATTAGGTACCACCTGTAGATAAGTTTCAGAATGAGTTCCCTTCTCTTGCCTGAGAGGGACTTTAACGGTGGTTTAGTTCACAGCTTCGACCATTGGGTTGGGTTTATTTCATATCCTATGTCATGTTCCCATTCAGCTTTGATTGTGGTAAGGGGACTTGTAGTGTTTTGGAGTAGTGTTTTATATATTGCCAGTACTGTCCCTTTGCTACTTTTTCCATAATTGACCTATTTCAGCCTTGTGGTTCATCCACCTTTAACTTTGTTATTAGTGGTTCAACATGCAGTCAACTGTGTTCAGAAGGCTTTTAAAAAAGACTTCAGGCAAACTTTTAAAGCAAGAAAAACCACACTTTCAGGGCATTTCATACAAAGCAGATGTTCAAGTTATTTCAATTTGATGTGTGCAGGAGAAAAATCTCAGTAGATTATCTCAAAAGGACAGAAACAAACCATTTAAAAACCAGAAACACAGAAACACAGAAATAGGCTCCTATTTTAAAATATGTGAAGATTCATTATGTAAACCAGAAATGGCAGAGATCTCAAAAGAATAAGGGAAGTAGCTAGATTGAGGAAGGATGTTACAAAACTTTAGTTACTTACAGAAAAGCTTTATCATATGAACTGAAAGGAGGAAGTCACATTCCAAGGACAATATAAGATTGTGTTTATTTTTTAAAGAGTCTCTACATTTTATTTTCACATACTCCCCTTTCCTAATGTATGAGCTTCTCTACATATACATTCACATTTGATTGATAGGCATATCTATTCAGAAAGTGAAAGATTTATCCCATCCAAATGCTATTTTGTATAACACATGCTAGACTAACAGAATTCTGCCACACTTATCAGCCTAATAATGAAAATTTACATTAAACACAAAACTTACCTCTTAGAAAAACTGTGAAAGATTGAAATCTGAAAGGGGTTTTACTGCTGGAAAATCCTTGAAAAGCACTAATTGCTTTAGCATCAACTATTTCAATAATCTGCTTATCTTTAAAAAAGAAAAATGTAAGATTACATTTTTAAAATTAATCAGAAGTCCATCTCAAGCCATTTCCCCAACTGGGATTAGTATTATTAAAGAAAAAGCATTCTAAATCATCCCAACAGTCAGAACTATATCCACTCAAGTACTTTAGTACTGTACTACTCTTCCTAAGCTTTATACCTTCTATTGACAAAACGGTCAAAAAAGTGAAGTTATAAAGTGATCTGAATCACATAAAATGTTAAACCAAACCATGACTTAGTGCAAACACTAGCACGTGTGGGCTCCCAGAGAGGAGACTGCAGCTGTTTTGCTCCTTCTCTGGGTGTGCTATGGTGCTGTTGAGAGCTATGTCATGATTTGGCTTAGTGTGGCATCCAAACCCAGGCTCATGTTTCGTTTACTCAAGACAAAACACAAGCAGCAAGTCATACAACAAACCTTGCTACATCTTATGGTTTGTCTTCAGCAAGACAAATATCAAACCTGCATTCAGGCTTGGGATGGATGGATCAAGCTACCGTATTGGCCCAAATATAAGCAGCACCTTTTTCCAAATTCGGGCCATTAAAGTTTGGCTTATATTCATGACCTTACGCCCCCCCCCCCGAAGCAGTGCGGGGCAACAGTGTGCAGCCCACCCACAACTCCCAAACCTCCCCTGGCGCTGGCTTGGGGAGGTAGTGCCGGGAGGTGGTAGTGCCAGGAGGTGGGCATGCAGTGCGCTCGAAACCGGGCACCAGCTTGGGGAGTGGAGTGCCGAGCACTGGCACTGGCTACCCCCCATCCCCTGTTCAGGGCAGTAGTGCTGGGAGGTGGGCCGCACCCACAATTAAGCCTTGAATTTTAAAGGTGCGGCTTATTTGCGGGTGTGGCTTATATTTGGACCAATACGGTACTTTTTTCTTGTGCTGGTTTCATGTTAACAAAACTGGGACAATTTTGTCCAGTTCATGGGGCAATTTCTTTATGAAAATCCTTTAAAAAACCCCCAGTTTTACGAGCAAAAAGTATAAGGTAGTACGAATGCACCTTTCTTCTCTGACCCATTATAGTTGCTTAAACCAGCTAGTACGTCCTTTGTGTTGACACAACTGAAATTTTAAAAAATGTTTTAAAATGGTCTCAGAATATGACGGTATATCTTAACGTGCAATCCTTTCCTGAATTGTACAGAGTTTAAAAAGGACAATCCCCACAGACATATGGGGGTAGCCATCTTTTCCCCTTCCCTTTTAGCATTTTGTCTTTAAATTGTAAGCCTGTGAACGTCTGATGAAAGAAATTATCGTATGCAAACATGTATTACTGGGACACTGAAACCTCAGGAAACTTTGTGAATTCAAAAATAAGCCTACTAATTAGATTTTCTTCCACACACTATAAAATGCTAAGAGACTGGGCTAAATCTGTATTTCAGACACATTCAGACTTAGGAAGTGGGGAGCCTATCAGAGTCCCAATGCAACCATGGGGCATACATTATAAGCTTCACTCAATGTAGGGATGACTTTGAACTCCCTCCTCCATGCTTTTTCCTTCTCTTGTTGCCCAGTAGTACACCACACCATAAAAATACAGTGGTACCTTGGGTTACAGACGCTTTAGGTTACAGACTCCGCTAACCCAGAAATAGTACCTTGGGTTAAGAATTTTGCTTCAGGATAAGAACAGAAATCTTGTGGCGGCGCAGCAGCAGCGGGAGGCCCCATTAGCTAAAGTGGTACCTCAGGTTAAGAACAGTTTCAGGTTAAGAATGGACCTCCGGAACGAATTAAATTCTTAACCCGAGGTACCACTGTATAGCTATTGAAATGGTATAATTTAGGGCTAACAACAATACTATATAATGTTTACCACCAAGTACTCTGTATTTCATATCTTCCCGCAGTGGTGAAGTACACAAAGTGCACACAAAATTGTTTCTCACTGTTGCAGATTCTGTCGCTCCAGGTGTATGTACTCTTATATACTGAAATCCTAGGGGAAGTGTATAAAAGACCGTATTTAAAGTTCTAAACATTCACAAAGTGCTATATATTGGTTTATAATGGTTTCCAATTAAATTTAATTAATCATCACCAAATGATCTCTGATAATGTACCTACTTGAAAAGAATATTGACATCCCGTTCATTCATTTGGGGCAAGTGCCAAAAAAATTGGCATCCCTTTTTAGAGTTGTTTGAATGGCACACTGCTTTGCTATCTTAATACAAAGTCCTCAGTTGACTATAAGGTATGATACATGCTTAAGCAACAGGACATAGCCAGACTTTGGCTCAGATTCAGTTAAGACCTGCCATGCTAGCGGAAATCATTGTAATGGCTCCTGCTGAGCCTCCCCTCTCCCCCCCCAAATCCACTGTAGAGGGTCAGAAGAACTCCCAGAATAGTATGCAGGGAGAGGAGAGGGTGGACCGTTCTGTCCATGGAGAAGGAGAAGTCTGAATCCCACCCGTTGTCCACCAACAAACAGAAATATTTGCATGATAGAGAACAGAAGTAGAGTATAATCTTTTAATTTTTGGAATATATGATGGAGAACAATCCACTAAATACTACTGCTGAGTGGTATGGTCAATAGCAAATGATATAGCCAGTGTAGTGCAGGGCACACAGATGCATCTAAACACAACAAACAGGCATAAAAGTTATGAACACAGAGATCAATTATCTTCTCTGCTTTCTCCTCCGAGTCCCTTCTATAGCCAATGATCTGCTTGATAGTAGGAAAATCAGTTTGTGAAACGATTTTCATGTGTATCCAGTATGAGAAATCACAGGTCTATAACGCTCTCGCAAATATGTCAGCAACATGCAGTGTATTAGATTTTATATACAATGTCTTGTACAAGCTTACGGTATAATTTTTAAAAGCTGAATTTACTGGTGTAAGTCAGTAAGTTATAACAGAATTCAAGATTCCAGGTTGGTGTACCTTCAGAAAACGGACAGTTTTCATCACAACAAACAAATCTTGCTCCTTGTGTATATTTTGTTACAGTGGACATTGCAACAACTATTCCCTCTGCCATATAAAATCTCTGAGAAGTATAATCAAATGGAAATTTGCAAAGACTGAAAATATAACTGGGCAGGGAAGGTAAATGTGTTAGTTTCAGCACTATGCTCATCTGAAAAAAAGAGACACAGAAATACCATGATGATGATGCCAGTTATAAATAACAGATACAGTGGTACCTCGCAAGACGAATGCCTCGCAAGACAAAAAACTCGCTAGACGAAAGGTTTTTCCGTTTTCGATTTGCCTCGCAAGACGAATTTCCCCTATGGGCTTGCTTCGCAAGACGAAAATGTCTCGCGACTTTGTTTTCTTTGTCTAAAAACAAAGACATGTTTTGTTTATAAAGTTAATTTATTTTCCCTTCAATTTTTGAACTGCTCTTTACAGTATGTGTGACTTTAAAGAGCAGTTAATAAACTGTTGTTGTACCAAATTTGGCGTTGTTTGGACTTTTTTTGACCATAGGAACGCATTAATTGATTTTCAATGCATTCCTATGGGATTTCGTGCTTCGCAAGACGAAAAATTCGCTAGACGACAAAAATTGCGGAACGAATTAATTTCGTCTTGCGGGGCACCACTGTACTACAGTGTAACCCTATGCATGCCAACTCACAAGTCAACAGGGCTTACTTCCAAGGAAGCTTACTATAATTAAGATATGCCTTGAACGCATTTCAGAAGAAATATTGCAACAAACTAAAAGGTCAGTGAAGCTATATTGTTTTATAAATACAACTAATTTCTTTAAAAAGTGAAATACGAAAAGCAGAGTTCAAACCTACCTGAGCTTCAGTCTGTAGCTGCTGAATTAGTGACAGTATTTTAACTGCTGTAAAACACACCTATAATTCAAAACCCAATTCATTTCATAAGGCAACTGCAGTTTAAAAGAGTGATTAACAAATTTCACCAAAATATATGAGATTCCTTACAGACTGAAAAATCTGAGTGGCCTTCACAGGTTTATGCAAAATGTAATTTCCAAGGGTAGCATCCAACTCAATAATATCAGATGGATTTATCAATATAGGAAACCGGAAAATGGCATAACTTTGCTTTGAATCTGTAAGAGTAGAAAGTATAAACCATCAACATTGCCCATATACTGATTTAAACTATAATTTTAAAAATTGATAAATACTACCATTGTATAATTTGCAGGCATTCACAAATTTCTGAAGGCCACCACTCCTGTCAAGATAAATCAATGCAACTTCCTTCATTCTGAGGAGGTCTGGCTTCATTTTCTCTGAATGGTTTTGTTTCAGTACTAAACCCTTAGATCACAGGTACACACTATGGGGAAGAATTTGATATGTCAGTAAGGTCAAGACAAATGGAACATGCAGTAAGAATTCTGCAGTGACAAGTTATCATTAGCACTTACAGAAAATGAATTACTGTATATAATACAGAGGTTGATGCCATGGCACCTGCATAGGCCTTGATTGATATCCCTGGGCAGGCCCCCACCCCAACTCGGAGCTTTCTCCTTTCTTTCTTTTTAAATAAACTTATGAAGCAAATTGTGCAGGTACCCTTCCAAGTATTTTATTTGACATGAGTGCAGTGTATACTGTCCTCACAATGTATAATGTCCACACAGAGATACGTCTCCTTGTGTTTAATGGAGCTTACTCCCAGGTAAGTGGGTACAAGATGGCAGCCTAGGCTTTGGTTGGGGTTGCCTTTTAACGGCTGTAAGACAAGCAGAAATACAACAGGTTAATCATTTTCTATTAGCGAAATATAATTATGGGAAAAGCTTTATCATAACGACTCTCTTTAATTTCTTTGTTATGTAATGCTCACCATGACAGCTATGTTGCACTATGCTGTGCTCCCATGGCAGTCATTTTGTGATTGATGCTCATCGCACTTAACATTCAAAATGCACCCACTGGTCCAAAAAGTTTGGCGATCCTTGATATAATGCAAAGCCTTGCTTAATTTATTCAGATACTGGAGAAAGATCTGAGTACTTGAATATGCTTTAGATTACAAGCCAAAGCATTAGTCTTGTGGACGTGTACTTAGCAATATGGGTGGAATCTTTATTACTATTTTTTTTAAGGACAAGCAAAATATATTCACTATGTTCTGGTCTTAAATAATTTATAATAAATTATTGCAGTATAAATCTTATAAAAGGAAACATCTTGCTGTATCAGTTTTGTCAAGTATTTAAATCCTAACATATTTCAGTTGGACGTCTATGTAATTAAGAGGAAATTAGATAATGCATAAGGAATTTGGGTTGGGCATCTGATGATCTTAACTGTAAAAACTACATGTTAGAAATATTCTACATGGCTTTTAGCTTTTCCAGTACTCTGATTTCTCTGCAGTCCCAACAGTGAGCACTACATCTACACTTATTTGTACTGGGGGTTAGGAAACTCCTGTTCCATCCAGTGGGAGCTTCCCTCTCACCAATGAAAACAGTCATGGGGGGATGGGAATCCAGATTAAGACTGCAATGGGGGATAAAATACACTTACTCCCCACAAGTGTCCCAATCGAACACTCTCACACACAATTCACTTTTTAAAAGACATTCAGTGTGAATAGAGTTGCATTTAATTTGGCCACCCAAAGTCAGTGTACTGAAGTGGTTAAAGTGTCAGACTAGATGCTGGGAGACCACAGTTCAAATCCCCATTTGGTCATAAAGCACAAGGAACACTATTCAAAGAACTATGCTCGGTATAAAGTCAAAAATACCCATTTAAATAGTCCCAATTGTATGTTCTGTCTGGAACAGTAGCATAATCTGCCCACCAGAGAGCTCTGGATATAACCCTATGACACCAACTGGGCAGTTGCTGAACAATTTGAAATGAGGAAAGCTCAGCAAGAAACAGAACCAAAGATATCAGTGTCACACCTATGTATATGTGCCTCACATTCAGATAGGGTGAAAATTTAAATGGTGATTTAAATCTAAGTTCTTTAAGTGTCATTTCCCATCATGGATATAATGGGATAGGGATTTCAATACGAAAAACGAAGAATATTGTGGAACAAACACATATTCTAACATAAAAAACCCAAAAAAAGCTCAGCGAGTTTGGTTTCTTCCTAAAAAGCTGCATTTTTAAAAAGCACCCTCAGGTCCACAGTTCGATTATAGATGCTTTCATATCCTGGCCTCAAAACCCTTCCATTTCTGCACTGATGTCGCAATGGCCCACCTCACTACATTGTCACCCTTTACTGCCATTACTAATGTAGCTCTGTCTCTTCTTCAGGCATGCCAAAACCAATGTGTTACAGTTCTCTTGCAATGGTGCATTTAAAAAATCCAACTAAGTTGTTTGTGTGAAAAGAATCCAACAACACACTTGAACTTAGCCTCACACAAGCCATTGCATGCAGTTGTATAATTTCCCTGTCTTGTTTTTCTTCTAAAACATCCTTGGAGGTGGCTGTATGATTAAGTTGAAGACTAGCACAACAGCAAAAGGAGGAGCTGTTTAACGTTATGGGTTCTCCCCCACAAGCTGATTTTCAGCCTACAAGCAGGAGGATATAAGAGGCTCTATGTATTTAATTTAATGTTTAGGGAAGTTTTTAATGACTGATGTTTTAATGTATACTTAACTTTAATGTATACTTAACTCCCCAGAGTGGCTGGGGAAACCCAGTCAGATGGGCGGGCTAGAAATAAATAAATAAATAAATAATTCTGAAAAGTGGTCAAGATCCTACCGCACATCATGCGCAGATTTGTGGCAAAACAGTTATTAGTACCCACCCATAGTTATGTGTGACTGAAAGATGACGGTAAACCGATTATGTGGGATTCTAGAGCCCCTGTCACAGAGATGGCACTCCAAAGGACAAAAGTGGGAAAGTGTCTAGCCACCCCAAAAAACCTACTTTTCTCCCTACCTCCACTGAGGAGCACTGCTGGCAATGGCAGGCCCTGAGCAAATGAACAAGCTTTCTGTATTTTCATTAACAATTTATGCCTATTACAGAACTTTCCCCCTCAGACTTGTTTTGCCCTCTCTTGTCCTCCCTCATATTTTTTCTAGTACTGCCATTGCTTCCTCATTAGCCTTTCACTCAGAGGAATAAAACCACTGAACCTCCACCCCTCTTTCTTGTTCCTTGCGTCTCTCTGAAGGGGAGCTGATCCAGGCACAGAGAAGGAGCCAGACTTCAAACTTCCCTCCATATGAACACTCCTCAGAAAGAAACAATGGTCAACATCCACTTCAGGTGGACGCTGTCTGTTGCTTGGCAATCCTACTGCCAAATCTTACATTTTCAAGTTTCTGTTCCACAACTTTGCTGTCAGCAGAGATATTCTCAACTCTGATAGGATAAAAAGCCTCACAGGCACAAAATTTACCTCAGATTACTTTAATTCAAGGGACGTACATTTCCCCCCAATTACTTACTATTTCATCAAAACTGCAATCCTAAGCAAATCTTACAAGGGAGCAAGTCCTACGGAACTCTCTGGATCCTACTTCAGAGGAAACCTATTTTGATTTAGGCTTGTTAGTTTAAGTGATCTTTGAAAAAATTGTAACAATGTCAACCAAGTGCAATTCAGCAGTCTAGGGTATTTATAAATATGAAACAATTTTGCAGAAATAAAAATCCCAGGTTAACACTTCTAAAGCAATAATATTTCAAAAATAATGAACTCATACTCAGTGCTGGGTTTGATTTCTAATATTACTTAAAGGGGCAGGACAAAACACTCCACTTCAATCCTGTACATAATGAAGCACTGAAGTGCAGTGCCAATCTCATTTAAGTGGTTATATATTAGAAACTAAAGCCTGTCAGTGACTCTGATTTTTTTGTTATTGAAATGTGGTTGATTTTCCTTTCAGAAGTGCTGAGCCTGAAATGCGCATTTTGATTTTGCGGAACTGTTGAGTTTTAAATAACACACTAGGCCACTGCTGAAAGCTCTGCTGAAACACGTTTAAGTAAGACAGTGGTTCTCAAACTTTTTTCTCTGGGCCACACTTTCAGGATACAAATTTGCTCGTGCCACACACATTGGAAAATAAAACAGCAGTGCTTGATTTATAACACAGAACATGACTACTTTATTCCTTTGATTGTCCTTGAATCTTCCCGCCACACTTGCCCTCCTCTCCTGCCACACTCTTTGAGAACCCCTGACCTAAGGAGTTGGTAGGAGTGCGTGTGTATGTATGCATGTATATATATATAGTGATAGTATCCAATCATTAATAAACAAAACTCTATTTTCTTTACACATTTTCAAAGCATGAAAAAAAGGAACAATCTGCTTCCCTCCCTTTTGTTGGCATATGTTTGTGAATGAAAGATATATAAATAGACGAGGATATATTTATTCTGGATTAATTAGACCTCTGTATTAAAGTACTTGAATAAAAAGGAGTGACCAAACTAAGAGGCCTACATCTAAACGTGTTTATTCTGAAGTAAGTGCCAGATAATTTGGTGGGTGCCTGCTACCTAGCAATAGCCAATGGGAGTGTTGCCATGAGGGTATCCTCTCTTGGATTAGACTGAGGTGACTGAAGCATTTCTTTCAGTTGCTGGGGGCCGGACTGTAATTTCCTTTTGCAGCTAGAGTTGGGATCCCAGTAAAAGATGCACTAATCTAGTACAAAAGTAGGTCTTTTAGCTGGACACCGGTTGTGTTTGTTTGTCTGGAGCCTCTGCTAAGTGTAGTTTAATTCTGCTGGTTTTTATATTTTCCTCTTTTGTTCCTAGTTTGTGCTAGGTATCTTCCTAAGCTCAATCTCTCAAGATGAACTTTCCTTTTAGGAGGGTTAGATATTTACTTTACTTTTAAAGCAAAGCTCAGAGTCTGGGCCCCCTTGCGGGCATGGGCCCTGGCAACCTGATTGTGCCATTATAATCTGACCAAGGGTACTCAGTTGCAGTCTGTTTGCATTGGCTTGATACTGCAAGATCTCTTAGTGCCCAGATTTTGTTCTGTTTTGTTTGGGTTTGTTGCTCTCTCTCTCTATTTTCTTTTCATGATTCAAGACTTTAGTAAAAAAATCCAAATCATGGCCACAGTGGAAACAAGACATGTGGACTATTTTCTTCAAGGTGTAAATTCCATATTTAATTAATTCCTTTGAGGTTTCAGTTTTCCCCAGCCACAATCACAAAGTTCCACACTGAATTTAGGAGAGTTGTTTAAATAAAAAATGTGTCTATTGTGGCCAGTCAGTCTTTTTACAAATGGACTGTGTTAGCTTTTTTTTATTCCAAGCATGAACTAATCAAAGTATAGATCTCATGAAAGTGAATTTTAATACAATCAAATTGCAATATATTAGTTTTCTAAACACAAGAACAAAATTTCCCTTCTACAAATGCAGTCATTTTTTTCCTTATATATTTCTTTGGAAAAAGCCATTTATCTTCTACAAGAAGAGGAAAAAAGTTATAGTCATTATGAGAAGCATTGTTATTAAAAAAAAAATACTTAAGGCTAATTTGTTCCACCTTTATTTAACCTAGAGAGCACATTTCTAGGTTTTACTAATGGAATGTATCAAATTACTTGAGTAAAGTGGTAATGGTTGCAATTCATGGCCCAGTATAACTAAAGGTGGCACAGTTTGGCCTTAAGATGGGCAATATTGTACAGATTCTTGCTTGGAGTTAAGAAGAAGTGATACCAATAAACCACCTTGGCTTAAAGAACAAGCAAATTGTGCAGAGTATGCTTATCTTCTTTAAAAAACAGTGCTATACAAAAATATTTGCATAGTAACATTTCAAGCACAAAGTCACTAGATAGCTTACAAAGGCCTTTAAATGAGAAAGTGTGCTGCTTTGAAAGACAGACAATTTGGAGCTATCAATGTAAACTTGGGGGAAAACAGTCAGTGTCCTTTCTTACAGAGAGTCAAAGTTAAGAACAGCTAACTAAAGGTATTGGTTCAAAAAGTATTTTTGTACAGCAGGTGTAACAGTCGTAAGGAAGTAATCCAAAATGCCCAGGTTCCTCATATTACAGCAGAAAAAGTTTGTTCAACATTTCAAACGAGGCACTAGTTGCACATATTTTTGAATCCATTCACAATCAAAACGTTCCAGTCCATCTAAAGATGACTTGCAAGTATTTCTTAGCATCCAGAAATCTTAGTGAAATGAGTCCTCAGAAGGTGGTGCATAAGAAAATCCAATGAATGCATCATCTGCTTCCAGCACACTGGCATTTACAATATTATAGTCAGAAGAAATGCAAACTGAACAGGGTACCATTTCTTCTGTAAATGCTGTGTCAAAGTTTCTGATGTCATCTGGACCAGACTAGGAAATAAAACATACAAATTGTAAGAAAAAGGTATGGTTTCTACCTCTTGTGTTCATATTTCAGTTCAAACTGGGAAGGTCTATTAATTTATCAACAAAACAATTTATCAGCAAAATAATCAATGGTGCAATCTTACCAGGGAGTGTCCCAGAGCCCATAGGATATTGTGGACCTCCCTCTCTATGGGTGGAAGTAATGGAGGGAACCAAAAATAAAAATAATTGTCCATACCTTACCTTCTGCCCTGGCCAGGACAAGCGGGCAGGGCTTAGGAAATAGCAGTAGCTTCACCACAGATCTTTACACCCTGATAGGATTGCTTTGCTAGAGTTAGTGTATCTCACCATTATGATTACTTTAAAGCTCTGCTTGAAACGTGTTTTTTTCAAAGTTCTTTTTGAATAGTTTTCCTTTTTGAAGTTATTTGATACCATGATAGATGTTTTTTCATGCCTTCCTTCCAACTAAGCATTTGAATTTGAGTACAACTATTGCTGCTGTTTTTTATAGCTAACCATAATTACTTCTTGAATGAGTTCTTATATTCCAGTTTACTGAAATATGAACTATTGTACCTACCACATTAGGATTAAACGGTGGTGGGATCTTTTTTTGTTCGAGGTCAGTCCAGCTGAGAGATTCAAAGAAGGGATGCCTCTGGATTTCAAGCTGAAATACAAGATACAATTGTATGATACATATACACTTGTCTTATACTGATCAGAAAGCAGTCTTTTGCCTTTGTCAAGTACTTTGCTGATTTATATAAAAAGATACCAAAGGTAGAGGAATATCTTAAAAAGAGTAATTTACCAAAAACAAAAACAGGTAAATTAGCAGTATTAAATGAAGAAATAACAGGGCAAGAAGTCTTAAATGAAGTAAGTCAAGCAAAAGTTGGGAAATTGCCTGGACCGGGTAGGCTATCAGCTAAGTATTACAAGAAACTGAGTGAACAGCTTGTGAACCCTCCAAAAGATCTGATGAATTAAATTCTAAAAATAGGGAAGGTTCCAGAGACATGGAAAGAAGCATATATAACACTAATTCCAAAACAAGAGTAGTTAATGATTACAAATTGTACATCTTAGCAAACAGATTAAAAAAGGCTTTAGAGGAATATATTCATAGAGACCAAGCAGGGTTTCTACCAGGTAGACAAATGAAAGATAATATAAGAAATATTTTGAATATAATAGAATACCTGGAAGTTAAAAATGAAAAACAAGCGGCCCTAATGTTTATAGACGCAGAGAAAGCCTTTGATAATATCTCTTGGGACTTTATGAAAAAAGTCCTAGAAGAGAAGGAATTTGGAGGAAATATATGAGGGGAGTCCAAGCTATTTACTCAGAACAAAGAGCAAAACTAATTGTAAATCAAGTGATAACAGAACAATGTGAGATTCAGAAACTAACAAGACAAGGATGCCCGTTATCACCACTTTTATTTATGATGGTCCTAGAAGTTTTAGCAAGGAATATTAGAGAGGATAAAGAAATAGTAGGTATTAGGAAAGGTAAATATGAATACAAATTAAAAGCTTTTGCAGATGTTTTAGTAATTACTGTAGAAGAACCAAAGATATCTCTCCCAAAGGTAATAGAAAAAATATAGGAGTTTAGTCAAGTAGCAGGATTTAAACTTAACAAGAAGAAAACTAAGCTACTTCTTAAAAATCAAAAAGAAGAAGAGAAGAAAGAACTATCCCAAGAGTTAGGAATTGAAATTCATAAAAAAGTTAAGTACCTAGGAATATGGTTAACAATGAGAAACATAAATATATATAAAGATAATTATGAGAAAATATGGAATGAAATTAAAAGAAATCTAGAAATCTGGGGAAGGATGAATCTTTCCCTGTTAAGGAAAATTGCAGCAATAAAGATGAGTGCTTTGCCAAAGATACTATTTCTATTTCAGATGATCCCGGTGATAAATAATAATATATCCTTCAAAAAGATATTTCAAAATTTATCTGGAATGGGAAAAGACCAAGGATAAGACATAAGATACTAACAGACTTAAGAGATAAAGGAGGCTTTTCTCCTCCATATGTGAAATTGTATTTTGAAGCAGCATGTCTTGTTTGGATACGGGATTGGATAAAATTGGAAAAAGAAGAAGAGTTAGAACTAGAAGGACACGACAATAGATTTGGCTGGTACTCATATTTATGGTATGGGAAAGGGAAAACACATAAAGGCTTTTCAAACCGTATAATAAGAAAGTCATTAATAAGAGTGTGGGAAAATACAAAGATCTGTTAGAGCGGAAAATACCATGGTGACTGTCACCCACTGAAGCATTTTTACTTAAGTCGATCAAAAAAGTAAGCTGGTTGGCATATAGAGAGTTGTTAACAGAAGAAGAAGGTAAACTCAAACTAAAAGAGTATGATGAGCTGAAAGATTATTTACAAAGTTGGTTACACCATAGGCAATTAAATGGAAATTTTAAGGAAGACAATAAAAAGGGGTTTAGTTATACAATCTCCAGATTTCAAAAAGAAATAGTGGAAGAGAACATTAAATTGTTTTAAAAATGATATAGTATTTTATTAGAGTGGGAAACCAAAGATGAGGAGGTTGAATCAGTTATCATTAAATGGGCTCAGGATGTGGGACACAACATCCAATTTGAAGTTGGGGGAAATTATGGAAAGTTGATATAAAATTCACAGATTGCATGCTATTAAGAGAGAATTACATGAAAATGATGTATAGAAGGTATATCACACCAGTGAAAATGGCAAAGATGTTTAGGAAAGAAAATAACAAATGTTGGAGAGGTAAGGAAAAGGAAGGAACATTTTATCATATGTGGTGGAAATGCAAATGCATTAAAAATATTGGGAAATGATATACAATGAATTAAAAAAATGTTTAAAATGAATTTTGTCAAACACCCTGAAGCCTTTTTCAAATCAAATCAAGAGCTACCAAAAGAAAAATGGACATTATTTATGTATGCTACAACAGCGGCAAGAATCTTGATTGCACAATATTGGAAGATGGAAGAAATACTATCAAAGGAACAATGGCAAGAAAAACTGATGAACTATGCAGAATTGACTAAGCTAACAGACAAACTACGAGAGGACAAAAAGGACTTAAAAAGAGTCTGGGAAGCATTTACAGTTTATTTGCAGAAACAACAGAATGGACTGGATTCACTGGCAGGATTTGAATAAACTTTCACAACTTCATTTGAGTAACAGGTATTTTAGAGAAATGATACGGGATTTTATTTTTGTGTAGGAAAAGCAGAATACGATAAATAAAACAAAATAACTCAGAAGAGGGGGAGTTGAGGGAAGTCCAGAGGAGGGGAGGGAGAATAATTGTAAATAATATGATGAATGAGATTTGTATCATTAATTGTTATAAAATTCAATAATTTTTTTTAAAAAAAGAAAACAGTCTTTTGCTGTCAAGAAAATAAACCTTTGTAATATGCCAGAGTAATATATTTCACAAGGCAAATATCCTACAGGAGCATAACTACTTGGGTGTTACATATGTTTTCAGTTTGTGCTGAGCCAGCCAAGCTAAAGAAATAGTCCTAATTGGAAAATGCATTTTGTTTACTTAAAGCAACTGCAGTAGCCAGACTCAGATTATTTAAATGGTTCCTATCAATAAATTTCCACACCTTTTAGGATTGCCATGGCAATTGATAATTTTCAAAGGAAAAGTCAATATTTAGAATTCTAAATTGAAGTTATAGCTCTAAGCTTGACATTGCCTATTGATTGATTGATTGATTGATTGGTTTCATCAGATACATTACGTACAAAATCTTCTCTAGCTCCAAGTCTGTTTTGTCTCTCCTTCTCCAAAAGTTCTTCCAGAATAGACCAAGCCATAAGACTGATGCCTGGCCTTAAATGTAGGGGTTTGTGGAGAATATTTTCATACATCTCAGCAACATCACGGCAGTAAAAGGGCGGCTGGAGAGGGCAAGGAAAACACACAATTAGGATGCTAAACTAAAAATCACTAGGCTTATTCGAGAAATGTAGATAAATGAATAATTTGGGATGTTCACTCATGCTAGATTGGACAGAGTTCACTTCAGAGATCACAAGGCAGAATAGTCAAGAACACCTGTTTAATCTGTGTAGCAGGTTCATGTCATATAAAGGCAAGAAAGGGGCTTTTTTGACCACCACTTTGGAGTTCTTGTCTCTTGGATACTCATAAAGTACCGTATTTTTCGCTCTATAACACGCAGATTTTTTCTCCTAAAAAGGAAGGGGAAATGTCTGTGCGTGTTATAGAGTGAATGTGTGGTCCCTGGAGCCAAAAAATCAAGCAAAAGTCAAACCGCGAGTCACGGAGAAGGGAAACCTGAAAAGAGGAAGCGGCAGCTTTCCTGCATTCTGCCTCAGGGTCTTACTGCCCCCCCTCCTCTGTTTCGTTGCTGTGATTGCTGAAACGGAACAAAGAGCAGGGAAAGCCCCTCCCCTCCAGGCAAGCAGAGGGGAAAGTGTCGTCTCTGTGCTCCGGTACTGCTGGGGGAGAGGGAGAGAGAGTGGGGGAGGGAGAGGGAGAGTGGGGGAGGGAGAGGGAGAGAGAGGGGGGGAGGGAGGGAGGGAGGGAGAGAGAGAGAGAGAGAGAGAGAGAGAGAGAGAGAGAGATGGCTGGCTTGGGGGGGAACTTTTGCCTTTCTTTCCTCCCACCCCAAATCCCTCTCCAGCATTCTTAGCCAGCTGCTTCTCTGCACACCCCTCTCATGTCCCTTCTTTGTTTTTCCTTCGCTCCCCACTTAAAATGTGGTTACAAAGCATAGATCAACATGGATCCTCAGGATCTTTGCATTGGGTCACCCCAAATTCACCATCAGATCACATAGCATGTCCATGGCTACAGCCTGCACCAAAAAAATCACGCACCCACTGTTGCCTGGGGCTGCAATGGTGCAAAAACGTGGTTAAAAAGCATGGATCCACATGGATCCTCAGGATCTTTGCATTGGGTCACCCCAAATTCACCATCAGATCACATAGCATGTCCATGGCTACAGCCTGCACCAAAAAAAGCACGCACCCACTGTTGCCTGGGGCTGCAATGGTGCAAAAATGTGGTTACAAAGCATGGATCCACAGGGATTCTCAGGATCTTTGCATTGGGTCACCCCAAATTCACCATCAGATCACATAGCATGTCCATGGCTACAGCCTGCACCCAAAAAAAGCACGCACCCACTGTTGCCTGGGGCTGCAATGGTCCAAAAATGTGGTTACAAAGCATGGATCCACAGGGATTCTCAGGATCTTTGCATTGGGTCACCCCAAATTCACCATCAGATCACATAGCATGTCCATGGCTACAGCCTGCACCCAAAAAAAGCACGCACCCACTGTTGCCTGGGGCTGCAATGGTGCAAAAATGTGGTTACAAAGCATGGATCCACAGGGATTCTCAGGATCTTTGCATTGGGTCACCCCAAATTCACCATCAGATCACATAGCATGTCCATGGCTACAGCCTGCACCAAAAAAATCACGCACCCACTGTTGCCTGGGGCTGCAATGGTGCAAAAACATGGTTAAAAAGCATGGATCCACATGGATCCTCAGGATCTTTGCATTGGGTCACCCCAAATTCACCATCAGATCACATAGCATGTCCATGGCTACAGCCTGCACCAAAAAAAGCACGCACCCACTGTTGCCTGGGGCTGCAATGGTGCAAAAATGTGGTTACAAAGCATGGATCCACAGGGATTCTCAGGATCTTTGCATTGGGTCACCCCAAATTCACCATCAGATCACATGTCTGTGGCCACAGCATGAAGCACAAAAATGATACATCCACTGTTTCATTCAGAATGTTTTTCCCCTTGTTTTCCTCCTCTAAAAACGATGTGCGTGTTATGGTCAGGTGCGTGTTATAGAGCGAAAAATACGGTAGCTTATGAAGCACTATCAGCCCTTCTTAATAGCTGATTTAAGAATTTTGCTGAAAACTGTTATACACAAGAACAATATAAATAGCAACTATATACAAAAATTGCTTGTAGTGCAAGCAATTGTGTGGCCTTTTGTGAGGTCAGTAAAGTAATAAAGAGAGAAGAGGAAGAGTAACCCTCCCGAGCACTCTCCTAAATGCAGAAAAAACATGCTCTTCAGCATAAGTATTACAAGCCTGTAATAGATACATTTTACCCTAGTATTTAGGAGAAATACAGGAGCAAATGAGAATATGTTGTTTATGTCCTGGACATTGACACTGGCAGCCTTTTCTAGCTAATTCCATTCTATTTAGCAATGAATAGCATCATTGCCACTTCAGTTGTCTGTTCCATCTGTGCTGGGTGACATAATCTGTTTCCAGTAGAAAGTCAGGAAATTAACAACATAAAACCAAAGGAAGCACTAGGCAATGCAACAAGATCTGCTAAGTATTTGTCAAATTTTATTAGGCAGTCAAGCCCAACAAAACCAAGTAACCTGTTCATAAATATGAATCTGGAATGTAAGATGTGTTATTAATATTGTGAATGATAGGAACAGTTCTGTGAAATCAGAGCATTGGTGCCTCTGATCCAACATCCCATTTCCAACAGTGGAAGCCCACAATAGGACAGGAAGACAAAGATTCTCCTCTGTTTCCCCCCAACAACCGCTTTGCAGAGACATCTGGAAGTACTGCTTTAAATATGATGCGTGAAAAACATGAAAATACTTACCAGACCATATAGCATTTCATACAAAACAGCACCAAGGCACCACCAGTCTACTGTGTTGTCATAGGGTTGCTTTCTGATCACCTCTGGGGCCAGGTACTATAGAGGAAAAGAAGTTTGACTACTTACTCAGAGAGACAGCTCCTCTTCCCAAATGAAATATTGCATGAGAGAGTATTGTTACCCTGACGAAGGCAGCTCAAAAATGTCTTGATTATAATCTCGTAATATTTGAAATCACTAATAGCAGCACTGAAACACATTTCTGTGCACTCATTGCCTTAGCTGTTCTGTTCTAACGAAAAGATTCTGTAAGCTCTCTAGAAAGCTTGGTCCACTGTTAAAGAATCCTTATAGTCAGGTCTGTGCAGAGATTGTCTGAGGCCCAGAATGGGAGTCTTGTTAGAATAAAGTTATAAACACAAACAAAAAGACAGCCAGTGCCAGCTTAGCCTTCTGAGGCACAGGATATGTGTACCTGGCTGTCCCCAGTCTCTGCATGGGCCTGATTATAGTTAACTATAAATTTGAGAACTGGTGTCCAAATGTACTTTCCCCCCTTCTTCCCTTTGTGTTGCATCTTTTAGGTTGTAAGCCTGAGGGAAGGGACCCTCCTTTTAAAAAATGATCTGAAAGCCTTTTTGGCTGAAGAGTGGGATACCAATGCATTAAATAAATAATAAAATAGCATCCCCCCCCCAATGTTTAGCCAGTGTTCATTTTCTTACAATGTATACTTAAAATATTGTTTCCAAGTCTGTCACTACAAGGCCCATATATGCACTAACATTTTCTCCACTAAGAAAACATAGCAGCTGAAATGATTTTGCCCTTGTGACAAAGCCTATGAGTTTGCTTTTTCAGTAAAAAGAGCACCAGCACAGCATGTAGCTTGTCTCTTACATTGGTACAGACACACTGATTCAAACACTTCCTCCCCACCACAGCAAGGTTTTGCAAAATCCACTGCAAAATATTTTCTTAAATCATGCAAAGAAATTTACATACCTCTGGTGTACCACAAAATGTTGCTGTAGTTTCTGAAGTTGCAATTCCTTCTTTACAAAGCCCAAAATCTGTTTAAAACAACATGCCCCTGCATTGAAAACAAACATTTCACTGTAAAATAATGCAGGTTGTTAGAGATCATATTAAAAATAAAACCTGGGGCAACAGGAAAATATATTTAATGCCTACCAGTGAATCTAGAAGGATATTCTCTGGCTTCAAATCCCTGGTCAAACACACAAAAAGAAGCAGATAGTTCAGAATAGGATTGTAAGTAGCACGTTTAGCAAATAATACCCACTCTCTTACATAAGCTTTTAAAAAGAAATCAGGCCTCTGTGGAAACCATGCTTTGTGAGCATGAGAAACAAATGCACATACAATAATACAAAATGCTGGCATTCAGCTTTGTGGTCATTTAGACTACAGCTAAATGTTGTAAATTATTACCTGTAATTCTTATAAATTATTACCTGTATACAATATTTATGGAGTGTAGGTAGCCCAATGCACTGGCTATTTCAGCAGCATAAAACCTGGCTCTGTGTTCAGGAAAGGAGCGCTCTTTTTGCAGATGAAAGAAGAGCTGCAAATATGCAGAGTGCAAGTTAAAAGAATGCAGTATTAAAAACAAAATAGATGGTGTCATTCTTAATGATAGATTAGCAGAACTGGCGATTTCCCTATGAACAACTATAAAAACAGTGAAAACAGATTCTCTATGTGCATAATCATTCACATCCTTCACATCCTTCCTTTAATCATTTCCTTATTTTGTCACATCTGTAGACCCAGCATACTTGGGCCACAGCTGGTAAATGAGGTAGATTTATGTTTAGATGTGGGGCTAATATAAACTGCTACTGTGATGGCGTAAGCTGGTTGTTCCATATGCTGAGAATCAACACCATATTTCCAGCAGACTTGCTGCAGAATCTAAGTGATGCAACAATATAACCATCTTGAATTAAGTTGACTCAGTTCATTATTGCAGCTTCTAAGTGAGTCTAAACTAGCGGTTCTGTCGATTTCAATGGGCACCACATTGCCACAATACAAAGACCCAAAAATATACCTACCTCCCCTCCATTAACAAAATCCAGAACAAAGTAAAGCTTCTCTGTAGTTTGGAATGAATATTGCAATCCAACTAAAAATGGATGCTTCACATTTTTCAACAGCACATTACGTTCAGCCATAATATGTTTTTGCTGCAAGGAAGTGAAAGGTCAATAAGTAAATAGGAACAATTTGGTAATTGGGAGGGGAAAATAAAATATCTATTTCCTCTCACCTCTTTCCTGTTGAGAATAATCTTTTTTTGCAGCACTTTAACGGCATAGAACTTCCCATCCAGTTTTCGTTTTGCAAGAAGAACCTGAAGAAGAATTTGCATATAGTGTGAAAGTCTGTTCTTGCACTAAAGTGTTAAAAGTAAAGGAACACCACTAAATTTCAACTTCTTAGCTTTTCACAAATACACAGAGGGTGCAGCCTTTATCAAGACTATCTGTCCCTGTAATAATAATAATAATAATAATAATAATAATAATAATATTTATTTATATCCTGCCCTCCCTAGCCAAAGCCGGGCTGAGAGCGGCTAACAACAGTAAAAATAACACAGTTTACATAAAATCACAATCAATTAATTGAAATACATTCTAAAATCAATTCATTCTAAAATGTAGACCACTATTGCTACTCTTTCTGGCAGCAGCCCGCCCAGGACCTAAGGCAGAGGTTTCTCTCTAACCTGCCAGCTATTCCTTTTTCCACTGGAGATGTAAAGGATTGAAGATATAACTCCCTGTATGCAATACATGTGCTATAATCCCTCACCTCATGCCATCAGCAAAAGTGGACTTCTCCACAAAAGCAGCTCAGGTGGAAAAGTATGACAAAAGAATACGTAAAATAATTAAAATTAGGCCTACCTTGCCAAAGCTGCCCTTCCCAATAACTCTCAGGAAGTCAAAGTCTGTTGGTTTAGCACTGGAAGGGATTGAGGAAAAAGAGGGTTACTTAGAGTAGTCAAGATGGTAAGACAGTAGCCATGGTTTTATTTAGCAGTCCAATGACAGACATGGCACACATTCCAACCATTGTTATTTCTCTTCCAAGTGACCATCCCTTCTATATTATCTGTACTCTCGTCCACAATTCCCATTTAGCCATCAGGCATCTACTCCTTTGCAGCCTCTCTGAGCAACAACCAATCCACATAGCATTTCCTGCTTTTATTCATCACTGTCCTCCACATTTGGTTTTGCTTGCTTGTTTTGCTCAATATTTATTTCACCAGATTCCCAGAACTTTGTCATTACCACTTTAGTTTGCACTAAACTCACAAGAAATATTCTCTTGGTACTGATTTGAGGAGAAGGAACTTCTTCTAAAACTTCTCAAAAGGGCAAATGGAGCTGCTTGAATTTTTCATGGTTAACAAACTCAGTCTAACGTTTGGTTTATATTTAACTAGAAACCTACTGAGGATTTCCAGATGGCCCCAGGTTGATATTCTGTGAGGTAGAGTTTAGCTGTTGAAAGAAAGAGGGCACAAAAGAATAATAAGAGTCATATCAAGGTTTTAATTATTTTTATTTGCTAGAAAGAACATTTATTCCTACATTCTCAAGAGCAGACCTATCAATCTCAATAGATCTACCCTTACTAAGTATGACTAATGATTCTATAAGATCAGACAGCATTTTGTACACCAAGCACTGAATAATAGATGAACAAAATATGTATACAAGGCTTTAAAGTAAGTAGTGAGAGAGTTGGCCTTGAGTATTTCCTTAGAACTAGGATAATCTCAGAGCAGTTTTGATGATAAGCAAGCAGCATCTCCTGTTATGTTTACTATTTTAACATCCTAGATGTGCTTGTAACTTGGCTGTTGGAAGACCAAAGGATCCAAACCAATATTATAAATATAATAGTCATAATCTTTACTGGAACACAGGATGCATGGCAATAAAATAGGCAGAAGAATAGAAAGTAGTCCAAGATTCAAATAGTGGAATTACCATTTATGAAATATCATGTGGACTTACAATTCTAATTACGGATGAGGAGATACAAGCAGTGCTTTACTTTCCATTACACTGTACAACAAGAATCCACACTTTCTAGGAAGGAACCCAGAAGTTTTAATTACCTTTTGACTGTTCCTTTCATCTTCATCTTCAGATGGATCAAAATGGTGCTTTGGATTGTTCATCTGAAGAAATGCTTGGACATCTGGGCTAAAGAAAGGGGTGGAGATTAAATCCATCCATTATAAATAATAGTACATTTATACTTTTTCAATGTGAGCAGAGGAAGCTTCTCTATTTCACTACTTTCAGAAAGAAACATTACCAAATTTCTATTTTATCTGCACATAAACATAAATAAAACAGGAGCAGAAACTATAATGACTACGTAAGACGGAAACTGAATCAAATCAGGGAGTTAATCTAACTGCATTATTCCCTGTTTTTATTCAATTTCCATGTTACAATTTCAGAGTTTGTTAATTAGAACCAAATTTCCACTTCCACTTCTAGAGTGTATACTAATTGGATAACTTGTGAACACCACCTGGAATAAGCCATTTCCTTTCTAACACCTTCAGCATTACTGTCATTTTCTGTTTCTAATTTGCTAATTTAATTAAAACTAAACTTAAACTAGCACAGAGAAAACTGCACACAACCAAAAGCAAAGCAACAGAAACTCCAGCAGCAAAAGCCAGTGCCACGGTCAATGAACTCTGCTAAAAGCCTTCTTAAAAAAGGAAAGAAAAAGCTTTTTGTTAACAAGCTACAGGGAAGTCACCCAGGAAGTTGCCAAACTTGCCTCAGCTGGCTTATGTCCTACCATGGAATAGGTACTGCTCTGTATTCATACAATTCAGGCATAGGCAAACTCGGCCCTCCAGATGTTTTTGGGACTACAACTCCCATCATGCCTAGCTAAGAGGACCAGTGGTCAGGGATAATGGGAGTTGTAGTCCCAAAACATCTGGAGGGCCGAGTTTGCCTATGCCTGTTACAATTCTTATATCCCTTGTGGATAGGTATAATAACAATGCCTCCCCCTTTAATCAGGGAACATGAGGAGGTACATTTGGAAAGAGCCACTCCTGGAGAGATACAGGCCTCTGACCTTGAAGGTTTTAAAGGCTGCTGTCAGCACCTTCAGTTGGACCTGGAAACTAAAAGAAACCCACATGGCTGAGCCAGAACTGGAACAACATGCTCCCTGTGACCCAGATTTCTCAAGAGAAGCTCAGCATGCTGCAGTAGCTGAGGCTTCCGAACAGTCTCCAAAAGACAGCTCAGTGTAGAGCACTGTGCAATAGCCAATTCAAGAGTGCATCAAGTTTAAATGGCCCAGGGAGGATTACAAATCAGGGAACAAGAGTGGGTGGTTCAAATCTTTAAAGTATGTTGTCCACATCCTTGGACAACAAGAGTTTAAAATACCTATCAGGTGTGGATCAGCAGATAATTCAGATACTGCTCTCAGACTTCACCAATAACAAAATTTGTGTGGGTGGATGCAAGAGATTTTATCTGATAAAATGTTTAAGAGATAGATTTATTTTAACATGAAAGCTCAATTGGCAACATTTGGGCTTTTTTACCACCTTAGCACAGAATTAAAATGGAGCTTTAAACTTCACCCAAGTTTTCTTCCCATCTCTCCAGCAGCCTCATATTACAGAGCTCTGGATTAAAACGAGGAACACACCCAAGACCACTGTCTGATAAGGTAATGTCTAAATTCAATTGCATCATGAGCCAGACCACATTTGTCAATTTCATTAAGCCACCAGGCTGGTGACAGGAAGGCTGGCATCAACAGGCAAATTCCTCAGAAAGTTCTGGAATCAGTCTCTGAAGATGAACCAGTCAGAGAAGCTCAAATTTTGTACCCTCATTAATCTTATTGAAGCACTTCAGGAACATCTAACTCTGCACAGTGACATGTGGCTAAGAAAAACAGTATGTCCGGGCTTCTTTTCAGATTCTTTAAGGTACTAACATGTTTTGCCAACTAGTGAAACTGCACAGTCTAGAAACCTCTGTTTCTTCTATTTAGATAAAGTGTAACTTCAAAGTATTATTGAGGCTTGAATGATGATCATCAAAGGCATGCACAATATTTAATTATAATTTTATATTTATGAAATTAACAGCTTTGAGAACTTTCCTTTGGAATGGAAAGGTAGGATTTTAAAAAAATCTCATAATAAGTCTTATTTAGGGAAGTCAATGACTGATGAACATTAGACCTTCCTTCCTGGAGCAAACCAGTCCATCTAGTTTGAGCATTCTGTCTAATAACAGTCAGCCACATGCCCCTGAAATACTCTCAAGGAAGACCTTGTGGTGATTAGCCTTTCCTTTTTGCATGTGTAGCATCTGATAGTCACAGGTGCAATTTTTTTTATAAAAACTGCTTATAGTGGAGTACTTTAGAACCAATTTGTAAATAGCTTCCTTATACGGTTGATAACATACCCTTATTTCTAGGAAAATATATATGTGTGTGTTAACTTACTGATTGCAAAGTTCTGGCTGTCGTACTAAATTCTGAATGAATTCATTCAACCCTGCTCTTCTCTGCTTAATGAAATCTGAAAGAAAATTAGGAAGGACCATACATTAGATTTTTTTTTTTAATTGAAGTTTACACTTTTTTTCAGATTACTTCACTGTTAATCAGTTCCATAATGTAAAGACAAAGGCCCACATGCTCCTGTTATCCTGACTGTACACTCTAAGGGTCAATGGGTTGGTGAAACTAACTAGACCAGATTGCAAGAAGCTTCTGGTCTTCAGACAAGAGAATTTCTAGGGACCACAGCAATTGCCCAACTCTCAAGTCTACCCAGATACTGCACTGGGTGGGCACAGCTGGGTGATGCCAACTGTACCCTGTTCACCCAAGTCTTAGTGATACAGACCAGATTGGCCTGCTCATCCACAATCAGATCATGGATGAGGGAGGTCTTATTCAGAGTTGACCTGGCATTCAGCAGCAGCAGTCTCAAAGGCTGACTTCTACGACAACTGCAATTCCCCAGTTGGAGGAGGGTCTGGCACTTGGCACTAAGTGCCTGTGCTGTGTGCCCCTTACTTGGCCTGCTCCACCTCCCACAACATACTTCTCCCTACCCTGTAGATACTTGCTTCATTAGCCGTTTATTATCCTATCATCCAATCTTTACAAAATTTAACAAAGAAAGAAATCTGGTGCAACATGTATGGATATAATATATGCAGTAGAAAGGACATGTTGAATGAATCAAGGTTGACAGCTGAGTTTGAGAAGATATAACAGAAACTTTATTTGCATTTAAGTAAGCATAAATTGGTCTGGTTGTTTACAGAATTGCTAAAATGGAAAGTAATTTACATCCCTTATATTTTATTAGCATTATACATTCCGCAATGGACCAGAATATACCACTTACAATATAACAAATGAATTGTGGTGATGTGCATGAAACCTGCTGCATTAAGCACTATCATGGTTTTTTAAATAAAAAACAACAATAACCCCTGATCCTTAATGCGCTTGAGTTGGCAGAATTCCACTGATTAAAAGAGTCTTGCTTTCAACACTGTATTCACAAAGTCTTATAAAGGCTAAAATAAGAATGAAGTCAGCACTGAACGCAACTCAAGATTTTCAAGGAGCATCTAATCACAGATTTGTGCAGAGAGACACTAAAAGGTCAATACCAGCTCTTTGCACTTGGCGTAAGGGTTTGTGCCAACATAGTCAGTCCACATAGAATCACATAAAAGATGTGCCCACAAGAGAGCAAAGGGTCATATATAACAAACACTAAAATGCGCTACAAAAGTATGCTGTGTAACACCAGCAGATCAGAATGGCTCAAAGCTTAAGAACTCACATACCCAGTCATATGACTGTATTACTAAATTAAAAAATGAACTTTAAACAAGACACCTAATGTTAAGAGTTTATTGAATTATAAAAACACAAATACATTATCTTACTTTGGCAGCGTCCTAATTAGAATTACAGACAAACACCTTCATAAAAACCAAACAAGCAATAATGATGCAACTAATCCTAGCATGCAAAAATACCTCGTTAAACCGTTCTCAACCACCAAAAGCCCCAGAACTCATAGCATGATCCTGTGCTGAAGATGAAAAAGCATGCTTTTTAAATCTCAGGAGAGAGTTTCAAAAGGGGGGCGGGGGGTACATCTAAAAGCCCTGTTCGAAAATGTAGCTTGTTAATTTTGCTTACTACCATAACTGTAATGGATGGAAACGTTCAGGAGATGCAACCCATAAATGCAACATTCACATCGCTTAGCATCAATACAATTCTACATAAAATGCCAAAATAAGATCGCATGTGCAATAAGTATAGATACTTGAGCTAGAGGAAAA